GAATGGATTTATTCAAAATATTCCAAAATCTGATATGATGGGACCAAACACAGTGCAATAAATTAAAGAAGAAGGGCAGTGATCCACGACTTGAGGTCCATCTTTAATTACTTGTTCCACTGCTGATTACATGTCCTAGGACAAGGCATTCTGGTCAAAATCCACAAGAACACCGAGAGAGCTAATTCCTGTTTATTTCTGTGGGAGTTAGGTATTTTATGGACCTGCACCCTTTAGTTCCTTAAGCCTCAAGCCCCAAATGATGCCAGCAGGCTGGTCCAGCACACGCAGACCTCATTCCTGTGAGCCCACGCGTATCACGAGTACTAACACTTTGCACAGCCACATCAACCCCCCTGGCTGGAGCTGCAAGAGAGAAGCAATGGTGATGCAACACTGGTAAAGGAATATTTTTACCCTCAACACATTTTATTTCCAGTGCTCTCCCACTACTAGCTAAGAGGGGGCGTGCAATAGCACGAAGCAAGTCAGGAACCCTGGTACAGATACAGTCTCAGCGACTTCAGCATCAAGTTGTGAAGAGCTCAGCAGTACTGCCTGGTAAGTAGCCCTTCAGATGGATTAAATTCAGCACAYGTCAGGGCCCCGATATGAATACAGTCTAACTAAACCATCCTAATGATAAAGGACGTCTACGCTTGAGGTCAGACGCTACAAACTTTGCCAAATTTGCTCAAGTTCAAGATGAACCAAGATCTCGGACAGAAAAAAAAGASAGGCAGAGAAGGGCCAACCGAGGCATTTAAGCTGATCTCCGCAACAGGTCGGGGGCCAAGTGCCTTATCAATGAATAGATAACATACTGTGGAAATGCTGTTAATGACTAACCAACCACACACTCAAAGGAAGATTGTGAAGGACAAAAACACTATTTTCCATCACCCTATGTTCTTGAAAAAAGGCCCCAGATAAAACCATGGTGCAAATAAAGTCAYTCTCTGAAACTAGACCTGAACGTTGTATTTTTTTTTCCCATGTACGTGCAACAAACTGTATTATTTACACCCAGATCATAGTTTTGGCCCTTATTTATACTGTAGCTGCATTCATAGCAGCAATGGGATAAGAGATGCGAGACCACTTCATCAGAAGAAAAAAAAAAAAAAAAAAGGAACTTGATTTCTTTTTCTCTAGAAAATTACGGCCAATAAATTCTCTGACATACACTTCTATGGTAAAATGAAAGCAATTTAAAAGTGATTGATTGGCACAACTGCTGGCAAGGCTGGTCTCCACCTGCCTGAATGTCTAATGACTAATACAGTGATGTCCTGGCTCGATCTAACACTCCCTCCCCACTCCTTGCTATCAGGGGAAAGAGGAGGACAGAGCTTACAGGTTCTTTGGGAAGGTGAGGAACACCCAGTGTCCACACTAATGTTCACAGACATATCCAGATTACAGATGGTAACAGGACAATAACGAACAAAGAGTCAAAGAAGATGAATGCTACACTTAAAAATCATTAGATAATGGGGAAGGCRTAACTTTGAATAGCTCGCCTACACATCCAAGGTGCTTTTAACTTTAGATTTTACTTCAAGCCTTTGCCACTGCAGCCTATTAAATGAAGTCTTGTTTCATACATAAATACAGATCCTCTTGAGCCTGGATAGCTGGTAGTAGCAGGGCTTGAAAGGGAAGTGATAAAAGCTCAACTTGACCACCAGATTTGCTCTTCACTAACTGAATCTTTATACAGGAACAAACTTCCAGGTCAAATCCTACACACTTCATCCAAGTACTAACAAACAAAACCCACAACAAATTGAATTAAATCCTGCCATTGAGGTAAACTAAAGCAACAGGTCCTTTAAAGCTTCCTGCTACAACACCTAAGAATACCAGGGGGTTGACAGCCGCCCGTGTAGAGCATGAGCCAGTACCGGGCACGGCGGGAACCGGCAGGCTGTCCAAGGGCGGCTGCTTGACGGGATGTTACCACTTACAGCTCTAGAGTTTGTGTTTGCGGTTGCAGGAGGAAACCGCGCGCGGTGGTACCTGCTGCCTGAGGATGGAGACACCCGCCAGGCCGCAGCGCGGCGCACCCGTCACGCACCCCAAAACACTCCTTGGCTCCTACCCAGCGTCGCCTCAGGCGCCACGCGCCCCCGGGCCAGCACTCCTCTACTGCCCTGCAGTAATTAGAAAGTGCTAATGCTGGAAATATCCATATTTGTTTAGGCTAGGCTGTGCTCGCCCCTCATGAAAAGCAGCTTACAAAGAAGAATTCTATGTATAGATGTGTATAGATGTGCACACGAGGCGAGGGCAGCCCCGCTCCCGTTCCCACTCACCCACGAGCTCGCCGGCCATGAAGAGCAGGTAGAGGGCGGCGGCGAGCGCGAGGCGCCGCTTGACGCGCCGCAGCCGGGCGCCCTCCCGCCGCCGGGCGCAGGCGCCGCACGGCTC